AGAGAGAGAGAGAGAGAGAGAGAGAGAGAGAGAGAGAGAGAGAGAGAGAGAGAGAGAGAGAGAGATGGTGACTATTTTGGGGCTATGCCCAGACTAGGACATGACATTTGAACTGAGACTACGTTGTTGACCATTGGGGAAGAATATAATACTGTTGTTTTCTCGCACTTTGGGATTCCTGGTTCTGCACCATGCCTATGAAGGGTAATTCGCAAAGGTCTGACTATAGCTGTGCTCGAAGGAAGGTGGTCGCACTGGGGCTTGGGTGATCAGGGGAAAAGGACAGCGATGGGAATAGGCGGTGATGTCCAAGGAGCACATGTGAGGTAGTCACACTCCGCATTTTAGTTGGGCAAGAGGAAAACGGTCAGAGAGAAGAGTAGTAGTCGTGTACAGGGAGTGAGTTCGGAAATAGTATAGACGGTCACAACGTAGTAGAGCAGCTAGTGTTACTGTGTTGAAGAGAGCAGGAGATTTCCCTGCATGTGTTCTCATATGGTGTGCGCCAGTTTCGTACAATTTTGCTTTCATAAATTTTGTCTTTCGTCGCTTGGGAAAAAATTGTCCTCTAGGTCCTCTTTATTTTTTTGTCCACAACACTTGGCACTTCTATTCTGGGGGACTCCGGTTCGTTTGATTATCGCCAGCAAGCGTAGACAGAAAGAAAGAAAAGCAGAGTGATTCCAATCCATTGGTCCCTTGAACATGACCCAGTTTGGATATTTACCCTCGCACCTATGTGACTACACTCCACCGGAACAGAATTTTCGTGTTTGATCATCGTAGTTCTCTGAAGCCTTCAAAAGCGGTTCAGATTTCCCTTTTGTGATAACCCGTCCAAACACGGACTGAAACACACAGCTGATTTCTGAGTTTTGCTCATAGACTGAATGCCCTACTGAGTTCCCTGCCTGCTAAGTCTGTGTGTGTGTGTGCTTGCTGGACTGCATGTCTGTCTGAGTGCTGGTTGGCTTGCGTGTGTGTGACTGTGCCTGTCTGAGTGCTGGTTGGTATGAGTGTGTGTGTGTGTCCCGCCAGGGCACTTGTTCGTTCGTTGGGTCCTCAGGGCCGGTACTTACCTGTGGCCGTGGCTTCGAAGGGTTGCAGCGGGGAAAAAGCACTCAAGTAGCGGGTAGGCCTGTACCGCACCCGGCAGGGGGGTAAATATGCAGGTACCCGAGGCCGAGCAGAGAAGACAAAAGTGGCATTTTTAGAGGCCGGTAGTGTAGGCTAGGTCTAGCGGGTACCAGTCTGAGTCTAGGGCCTGTAGGGGCAATATCAGAGTCTACAATGATGTTTCCCTCCAAAAAAGGAGGAGGTACCGGTTGCTTGGGAAGGCCAGTGCCCTGGAAGTCACCGCCCAAGAGGCAAAGCCGGCCGCTATATCTTCAGGCCGGACGGAAGACCCCGCCTCTTTTTCGGTGTGCTAGTTTGGCGACACACTGGTGGAGCGCTGGCTGGAGCAGCGCTAAGCTGGAGCAGCGCTGCTGGGGAGGAAGGAGAATGACTTGAGGGAGGGAGAAGGAGGAAGGAGGAAGGGAGGAGGAGGAGCGCCAGGGGTACTTACCTGGCTATGGTGGCAGCCATCTTCATCACCTTGGTGGGCGCTGCAGCAAGGAGTCCCCAGCCGGGGAGAGCCACACCAAGAAGCTTCAAGGCAGGGCTGGGCATGGCGGCCTGAGCTGGAGCAGCCATAGCTGCTTTGGGTTGTCCTTTGGACAACTGAGCAAGGCCTAGTAGTCCGCCATAGCCTCGGCCTATGAGAGTGAAGAGTGGGAGAGGCGGCCATGGCTATGGTGGACCTTGAGTGGTACCTGCAGCAGAAGAGGGACTCGGACATTGATTCTGGCCCAGTCATTCAACATTGTATTATTATTTCTTGTATGAATAAGGAGGGGGAGATAAGGAGGAGGAGAGAGTTGGGCGAAGAAGAAGAGCCTTGTCATTGTCTTTGCTGGTGTACATCTTCTTTTTATTTCTTACTTCTTCTTCTCCTAATCCTCTCTCTCTCCTCTCAAGTTCATTCATTTCTTTCTGCAATTGGATGGCATTGTGCCTTCTGATGGATGTGTATCTCGAAATTGGCCAGGGTCATAACACTTTTCTTTTCAGCTAGCCGAACGCTTCCAGCTCCTCTCACATTCCCCTTCCTCGTAAAGTGCCAGTCATTCCAGTTTGTGTTTGGTGGGTTCCTGTACCCTTGCAGTCAAATTTATAACCTGCAATAAGTCAGTGAACCTGGATACGAAGGGGTTGTAAGAGCTACAAATCAACCAAGATGAGAAGGTGGAGTGCAGAAAATCTAGGAGAACAAAGAGCACAGGGTGAAGGGAGTTGAAGAAAACATAGGTTAGGCAAACTCACCAGCTTTAGTTTTTCCTCTGGGTCTGGAATAGACAGCATGAGTGTCTCATTCCACACAGGGTTGAGGTTTCTCTTAATCACTGAAGTCTTTGCTGTCTGCAGAAAACAGATGTACCACACAGCTTTGTCAGGTGCATGGCAAAATCTTCGTGCATCAACACAATTCCAAAATCTTTCACAAAAACATTTCCCAAGTACATCATCTCTCTCTCTCTCTCTCTCTCTCACACACACACACACACACACAATCATTCTCATGTAATATGTATGTATGTATTTTCTTTCTTGATTTTTTCGTACTTGTGTTTCAAGGTGAGCACTTTTAAGGAATGCCAAACAGTCGGTGGTCGGTGGTTTGGAGTGTCTGCAGGACTCTTAGGGAGGCGCCCTGACTGTGATATCTGTGGTTCATGAGGTCTATGCGTGGATGATAGACGCCCGTCCGAACACCTTCCTGGCTCAGCAGGTCGGGGGAACCAACATTCTGCGGGGCCCACCCCTGTTGTGAGTCGGTGATGTGCCACTTTGCTCCGTATTCGATGTGTCCTTCCTACCTTGTCTAAGCTCCGCCACTGCCTTGCTGCCTGTCCAACTTTCGTCGCATATCGTCCTTTGCAAGCTGCTGTGTTCACTGTGTGGTGTGGCTGCGGTGTTGGTGTTGCCCTGTGCTTCGCTGCGCTGCTGCCTTGCTGCCCTTCCGTGTGCCTTGCCTGCCTTCCACGTTCCTTGCTTGTGCACCTTGTAGTGTGGCTGCTGTGTTGGTTTTGCCTTGTGCTTCGCTGCGCCATTGCTGTGCTGTTCGTCCTCTTGCCCTGTCATTCCTTGCCAAGTTTTTCGTGTTGTGCAGTCATGTTGCCTCGGCAGCGTTGCTTGGTGTTCCGCTGAGTTGCTGCCCGTTGCTATTTTCCGTTTGGGGACAGTCTGCCTCCAACATCGGTCATCGAGCACACCTCTGGGTAATTGAGTTATGGCAAGGAGCAAAATGCTGAACAAGAATTCTCCCTCGAATAGCCTCCTCCTCCTCCTCTCACCCACACACAACAGTCTCTCTCTCTTGGACATAGTAATGATCATAACAATCTCCTCGTGTATCTACGGGTACATCGAATTCTACTTTGTCATAACCATCATAGGGTGCTGTTTTTTGCAAATCCAAGGAAACCCCTGAACCTCATAACCATCATAGGGTGCTGCTTTTTGCAAATCCAAGGAAACCCCTGAACCTCTTAACATTAGACCACTAAATTTCCAATTCAATGCCTGTTTTGCAGTAACAGTACCAATATCTATAAGTCGTTATTTTCAAATACAATTGTTTGTCAACATTTTTTTTTTAATTCGCCTATACAAGCATCCGGCCATGCCAGCTGTATTCCCCACCACCACAACGACGGACAAAATCCAGGCGCGACACTTGTTTGAGCTGGGCCTGGACTGTCCATCCGGTCCTATATCCTGAGCAATCCGGACAGTCCCATACATCAAGTCTGGATTCTTTTTTACTTCTAGATCTTTGTGCCAAAACTAAGAATTAAAAAAAATTGCCAAACGCAGCGCACTCAAAAAACTTTTCACCGTGGGTACGTCGGACCTGGACCCGAACAATGCCAAACATCTCACCGGATGCACGTCTGGACTCGTCACGACATCCAAACCACCGGACGCATTCAGACATCCGGACATGGTGGGATCCGGACAGTCTAGACTGTGTGGAACGTCCAGAAATGTCTGGACCAAAAAAAAAGAACAAAAGAAACTGGAAAAAAAAAAACATGAGGGGCCAGTGGTTTGCAAAACGAACCATGCAACAGATCAATTGATTGATCGACTGATTGATTGATTGATGATTGGAGATTTTGGTTGGACAGTTCGTTGATAGATGGACCGATGGATGGATTCCATCAACCAAACAAACAACTAATCAGGCAATCAATCAACCAGTCGGTCAATCAGTCACAACTGACAGCATTTCACGATGAGAAATATGTGAGTGCAGTAGTTAGTAGTTACTGAACAACGTGCATTTAGGGCATCAGGCCCCGCCGTGCACGCACGGCCTCGAACAGGCACCCTCAGCCTCAAGAATGAAGTCTCGTAACCACTACAACCCTTGGAGGTGTTATTAAAACTGGATCCATACCGGTCGTGGTATCCAGCCCACCCCAAGGCGGGCCAGCTCGCCCGCGGATTCCGCATGCACCTTCACAGTTGTTACTGAACAACTTGCGTTTAGGGCATCAGGTCCCGCCGTGCATGCACGGCCTCGGACCGGCGGCACCCTCAGCCTCAAGAACGAAGTCTCGTAGCCACTACAACCCTTGGAGGTGTTATTAAAACTGGATCCATATCGATCGAATTGTTGCCGCAGATTGTCGGAAATTTTACAGTTCTCGTTAGTTCTGTGAGTGCAGAACTGATAAGAGCTGTAAAATTCCCGACAACTTGCGGCAACAATTCTACATCCTAGACAAACACGAGGGAGCTGAGGGATGGAAATAAGGGACATACCTGAGGGAGAGACGAGGGATGGAAACGAGGGACAAAGCCAAGGAAGAGACGAGAGATGGAAAAGAGGGAGACAGTCGAGGGATGGAACGAGGGATGGAAACGAGGGAGAGACAAGAGATAGAAACAAGGGAGAAGGACAACAAGGGCAAGACAACAGAGAGCCAAGGACAAAAGCTGAGGGAGAAAGACAAGGGATGGGGGGGGGAGAGAGAGAGAGAGAGAGAGAGAGAGAGAGAGAGAGAGAGAGAGAGAGAGAGAGAGAGAGAAGATACCTTGCCTATGCCCAAGATCATCGACGTCAAAGATTGCCGAAGTCGTGGAATATTTAAGATTGTCCAAGTAGTCGAGCAAGGTAGAACACAGCCACAGAGAGAGAGAGTGTGAGAGAGGGAGGGAGAGAGGGAACCGGACTACTCCGCCACACCCCTCTGCCCCCCCCCCCCCCCCCCCCCCCCCCCCCCCCCCCCCCCCCCCCCCCCCCCCCCTTTTCTCTCTCTATACCCCAGCACTGTGAGGGCTGTTGTTCTCTTGACGACGAGCAAGCGATGCGTGGGATATAGCGAGGCAAGGAGTGCTTCCACTGACGGGGTGTTTTGACAGGTATGGTGAGGAGTGCTTCCATCGACATGTTAGACCGATGGGCTGCTTCGACAGGTGCTGCTTGAAGTGATGGCTACGGGCACAGCAAGGAGCACTGAGGCAAGGTGAATTGGGTTGGCCTCCTCGACCCCCAAACAAGGCCGCCAAAACAAACTACTCAAAACACAAGAAGACAAAAGAAATGACAAATATACGAGAACAAGATTCACAAACCCACTTTTGCCTTGTGTCTCCCCCGAAAAAAACAAAAAAAATCAAATGGGCCTCACAACTCCGACAAACATTTCTTAGGGGATGGCCCCAATGCTAGGAAGGCGCAGTTTCTTTTTTTGCGGTATTTAGGCATGATCCGGACCTTCCACGCCGGACGTCTGGATGGAAGTTTGGATCCAGACCGTCTGGATGGCGATACGGACATCCAGATCGTAGCCATGCTTTCCACACCGCCACCAACCCCCCGGCGGCATCGAAAGCACCTGAATGTCATCGTCAGTTCGGCAGGGGGACTGGTGGTTTTAATTCCTTCAGTGGCCTGAACACTACAAGACAAAAACAATGCCATGCATGCCAAGCTCAAACCTACAGACATCCACAAAGCATCCTGGAGGTATCATGATCAATGAGCGCTCTAACTCAAAATATAGCTGTGGTGTTTGGACCTAGAAGAAAATCACTCTTCAGGAAATGGAACCGCAGGAAAAAAGAGAAAAAATATTTGACAGGAGGTAAAGTCTTGACACAAAAAAACACAAGGACAGTGGACCAACCTGCTTTCCTAGTGTGACCACAACATATGGATCACTGTACTTCACATCTTTTGCGACAAGGTTGATTCCTCTGATTACATGAACCTGAAAACACATACGCACCAGCATGCAGAGGGGCAGGGAATCATCCCGTGAGAATTTTACCTCAGAATAATCACAGCAGGATCAACAACAATCATTCTTAAAATGACAACGAGAACTGAACTCTCAAGACACAGAGAGACGATAAATGTCAAGCATCCACACTCGCTCAGGTAGTTCATACCCTGAAAGCTTCTATGAACCAATACCTAAGCCTGCCGAAATATGCATTGAGACAGTCACTCTACTTAACCGAGTGTAGATGCTTCCACCTTGACCTCCATTTCTTTCATCCCCTAATCATATGGATACCCTTTAGACAAACCTACCTTGGCGAAACACTCGCCACAATGCCAGATGACTCTGCCCTTGTTATTTTGAAATTTCATTGTTTGTCGAACTTTTGTCCACTTTTCATAAAAAAGCTCCCAGGACATTTCTGCGAATTGGCCACAGCGTCCTACCTACCAGCACGGCAAGTTGAAATGGAAAGGGTACTGGAACTTCTCACAAAGTACAAGGGAGAAAAAGGCCAGCGAAAGTTAAAAGCAAATTGCATGGCACCAGCAGTAGAAGTTCAGACCCCTGCCTTAGGCACTGGTTATGCAAATTGCATGGCCTCTGCTCTGCAAATCTCATAGCGCTGATTCCGGGAGCTGCACGGCCTCTTTATCGGAAACTGGATGGGAAGGAAAAAGGCGCCAGCCTACAGAGCATTCACGTTGGCCCATGGGCCAGCAACTGGGCCTGGGTGCCTGTCCCAAGGGCTGATGTACTGGCTGGCCAAAAGTACTTGAGAAGTCCATTTGAACACACAAGTTGGTGGAGGCCAGCAGGCTACTTCAGGTAATTGCTATTGCTGCCTCCCGTTGCTACAGTGCACGGTGCTACAGTCAGTGCCGCTACAGTGCACGGTGCTGCAGTGAGCGCTGCTACAGTCTGCGGTGCTAGAATGAGCACGGTTACAAGAAGGGCCAGTGCAGCTTCACCCGCATGACATAGCAGGTCAGTTTCCTTGATCGCATCACTCTAACACACACGGACAGTGAATCCATTTTTCAAGGAATGCCGTATAGAGCAAAGACAATTAATTTGAATTAAAGCATGTAAACACTGGGTACAGTGTTACCGGACCGAAGATTTGGGGGTAGATGTAGGCTTAAGATTCTTTTTTCTTTTTTCTTTTTCCTTTTTGGGGGGGGTGGCGTCATTCCCCAGCTAAGTATGTGCCTCACAAATTTCATGTCATTCTGACAAACAAACAAAAAGAAAACTCAAAATCACAGAAGAAATCGGGGTGGAACATCGAGTAGGACTCCATTTTTTTCATTTTTTCTTTCAATTTTGCTTTTTTTCTTTTGCCTTTTTTTCCGTCTTGCTTTATAAAACATCAATCAATCAATCAATCAATCAATCAATCAATCAACGAATCACTCAATTAATGGTACTTGAGATGGGTGGAAAAATATGGGGTAGGCGGTGCTATGTCAGCTACGAGGTCCCTTGGTTATGCTAAGTGGGCTCTTTTAAAAGTTTAAAACCCCATTCGATTGATTGTTACCGTGGCCCTAAAATTGAGGAACCAGGATGGGGCATCTCTCTCTGTCTCTCTCTCTCTCTCTCTCTCTCTCTCTCCATCTGCACAAGGCCTGCTCTCTCTCTCTCTCTCTCTCCCTCTCGCCCGACATCTGCACAAGGCCTGGGTGTACTTGTGCTTTAAGCCGCAATGCCCTTGCTAAGAAGCAACTCGTGGCCTAGGAGAATCTTGGAGGTCTGGCCCAGCCAACCACAATGGTTTGCGGTGCCAGCCAGAAAAGAAAAAGGGGGCGTAGCTGTTGGTCCGGAAATATCTGGTGCGCAGTAAGGCGCCTCCAGGCCCGGGTGGACTTGTACTTCAAAGCACAAGTACTTGCACTGTGTCGTTTACGCTTTTGACAGCTGCTCATTAGCGACCGCTTGGAACTCTCTCCTGCATGGTGCCGACCTGCCATGTCACAGGCTGACCTGGCAAGGTGAGGGAAGGACCGCTGCTCTCGTGGCTGATGGGAGTAATTCCTTCACGTGAGTAGAGTCTGCATTGGAACCATTTGCTCTGGCCAGGCAGTCGGGGTTGTCCTGGATGTGGAGGGCTTCGCCGAGTAGGTGAGGGTGCACCTGCTAAAGGCCAGTTTAACGAGGAGATTCTCTTGGGAGGTCAGCTGGGTCATGTGGGCGAGGTGAGGTTGAGCATCTAGCTTTTCGAATGCGTGGCTGGTAGTGACTTCGGGCACAGGCCTTTGACAGGGCTATGAAGATTGGGTGTTTTTTGTTCTGCATTTTGCGAACTGCTGGTGGGCTTTTTTGACTCCCCCAGCTGATTTCAGTGGATTTTGAGTCTTGTTACAAACCCCAGCCAAACTCTACGTGGACTTTCAGTCACGACTCCTCATGATTCTTTACTCGTTACGCTGTATCTTGTCTGTGTTTGGATTTCTTGATATCTGTGGGTTGCAACTTTGAATTTTTCTCTTTGCCCAGCTTGTCCCTGTTGATCATGGGATTGCCTTGCTTTTCATATCGCCATGATTGCGAGGGGCTTTTGGGTTGAGACGTGGACTTGATCGAGTGGTTCTCACATTCATCCTGTGACGATTTCCTAATCCTGCGGTTATCCTAGTTTAGTACATGAGTTGTTGCAATACCTTTCTCGGCCTTTTGGCTAAGTTCAAGTGTAGTACCTGTTCTGATCAGTTTAATATCTGATCCGTGGTCCATTGAATCAATCTGACCTGCAGCATGCTCAGGAGCGGATCAAGAAGACTCAGGCTTGGATGATCTCGCAAGCTAATAAGCATTGCCACCAACTTCCAAGTAGGAGAGACCAGGTCCAGGCTAAAATGTCTGAATCCGCACCAGAAGAGGACATATCAAGAAAACTCATTCCCTACTTTCCGTGCCTCAAAGTTGGTGCTTTCTAAGCGCACCAATGATTTCCCCTCTCAACACTCGCAGATTCCTCCATCAATGATATCCAACAAATAGCAGGGCGCATTGGTGATGGACCTACAAGGCATCCACTATCAGCATCCCTCAAAGGATAAACGTCTGGGTGGCATAGGTCTCTGATTAAGTCTGAAAAGAACATGGTACAGAGTCTACAGACCTATAACGCCGCTGTAAAGAAGGGTGTACAATCCTACTCCATTGTCTCAGAGGACCTCGCATCTGGGCTGTTGAGAGATAAAAACCCACGGTTTTGCAGCGCCAGCAAGTGTACCGCAAAGTGAGTGATAGACCTAGTGACTTTAGATCTTCGTATAATGGCACCTAATCGAATTGTTTGGAGCTCCCAAACTTGTTTGATAAATGTGACCATTGTTGCACCCCCCAACAGTCGGCGGCCCTTGACTGGTCGGTTGCCGACTCGCCGGCCGATCGGCTGGTCGGCACCTACCGGTCGGGGGTCATCGGCACCCCGCAAAAAAAAATAAAAAATAAAAAAAAATTGGGGGGGTCCAGAACCCCTAAGAACACATCCAACACCCCCATAGCACCCCCGAACACCCCCATACACCCCCCCAAACCGCTCCCAAATCGCCCCCAACACCCTCATTACCCCCCCCCAATACCCCCTATATCACCCCTACACCCCCCTCCTATACTCCAATCCCAACCCCCCATAACCCCCCCCCAACCCCCCCCCATCCCCAAAAGTTTCTCAGCGGATTTGGGCTGTACTCAGCAAGCGCAGTACAGCCCCCAACACAGATTTGAAAAAAAATCAGTGGAAGTTTTTTTTTTTTTTTTTTTTTTTTGGTAACTGGTCGGCAGACCGCTGACCGGTCGGCCAAACTGCAATACTCGGCGGTTGGGGTCGGCGGTCGGCAGGGATGCAACCCTGAATGTGACTGTAATGTGGATTGGCATCTTCGTTACTTTGAAATTTTAAGGTTTGCCGTTGTTTGGCATCTTTCACAAGAAAGACCCCAGGACATTTCTGCAAATTGGCTACAGGGACCTACCTATAAATGTGCAAGGCCGCTGGCACCTTCTGAAAAGTGCAAGGCCGCTGGCACCTTCCGAAAAGTGCAAGGGAGAAAAAGGCCTGTGAAAGTAAAGAGGAAATTGCGTGGCAACGGGTGTAGAAGTTAACAGGCCCACTTCCTCAGAAATTGGATACCACAGCTGCTCTGGAAATTGCATGTCGCTGGTTCCAGAAACTGCACAGCCTCTTTCTTTGAAACTTGAACGCATCTGCCTCAAGGAAAAAAGTACCCGCCCACAGAAAATTTGAGCGGGCCCTTGGGCCAGCGACTGGGCCTGGGCGCCGGTACCAAGGGCTGATGTACTGCCTAGCCAGCCAGCAGTTCATGTGAGCACACAAGTTGGTGGATGAGTGCTGCTACAGTGCACATTGTTGCAGCGAGTGTTCCTAGACTGCGCAGTGCTACCGCAAGTGCTGCTACAGCATGCCCACTTTGGGTAGTCTTCTAGAGCAGTAAGGAGGCATAGCACTAGAAGCGGAAGAGAGACAAAGGCATCTGTTACATGACGGTACCCAACTAGGAGGAAGGCTACGGCGGTCGAACACCAGAGAGAGACAGGAGAAGGAACTTGGGGGCACTATTCTAAAGCGGTTTTACTGGTTGTTCCTCCATGGTGATGAAGCTTTGTACTGAACTGAACGCGGATAATAAGAGTGGATGGACTTCACGAGTTTATAAAGGAGAGAAATTGGGCTATTCTTCTCGTCCACCTCAAATCACCAGTACACCAAGGCCTGTTTTACCGAACCTACACACCACCTGCGCGCCGAGTTTTGCCGAGCCTGGAGGCGGCGGGAACCCGTAGGATAAATTTGTCGGTTGGCACCGGTACCACGCTCTATGCTGGACCTGCTGCCAGCAGCTGGAATGAAAGGAGGACGTCATTTTCTCATTTCCACTCCTGAGCCACCCCGGCCCTGGCCATAACTGCGGTCAGTTACATTCTGGTGGCGTAAGAATGCCCCGAATGGACAGGGCTGGCAAGGAATCAATTGCTCGCCGTCTCTCACAGGTAGTCACATCAGAAACAGCTGAGATCCTTCTTTCTTAGGAAAAAAGGAACAAAAACAAAAAGAATAACGTTATACTAAGCTCTGAACATGGTTGCCTTCACATTCATCCAGGCCTGGCCATACGTGCACTCAGCTACATTCTGAAAAGTCCTTGCAAGAGACTGCCCTGAAATCTCAGGGGCTGGCAGGCACTCTATTGCTCCCCATCTCTCATGAGAAGTCCCATCAGAAACAACCAAAAATTTTCTTTCTTCAAAAAAAAAAAAAAAAAAAAAAAAAAAAGACGAATGGCATACTAAGCTCTCAACGTGATTGCCTTCAGATTCATCCAGGGCTGGCCATAACTGCAGTCTGAACGTGATCGCCTTCAGATTCATTCATCCAGGGCTGGCCATAACTGCAATCGGATACATTCTGGAAACTGGTAGCGTTAAGATGCCCTGCAACATCCCTTTTCTTTTTCTTTTCTTTTTTTTAAGCCCTGCCAGCGAGGCAGGGCATTCTCTATCTTCTGCGGCCGTGCATGTGGAAACATGTGCACGGCATAAACCAGCAGGATATCTTGCAGTCCATTTGCCCCTTTTCCTTGGGCCCACCAGCTTCCTCCCCCATCACACTACCAGGCTGTCCCGGATCCCTGAACTATCCAGAGTAGGTGACGAGATTTTTTCCACAAGGCTGGGGCTGTGTACTAGCGGTTTTGATCTCTGTGTGCATCTGTAAGTGTTCAAGTCATTGGCTGCAGTGATTTGAGTTGTCTTGGGCAGGTACATGTGTAGGCGGTACTCGACATGGGAAGACAAGGTACATGATTTCACAATAGTCGTATCGTAGTAGAAGACGAGGAAAGACATGACTTTCACAAGCAAGCCCTCGTTCACAAGCCAATAACATCAGGCATGGGAAAGGGGTGAAGACCCTCAAAACAACAATCGGGCCAGAGGCGTACAATAGCACACGACCTGGCATACAATCAGTACCATTTGCAGTCTCTAGAGTTTCAATGCATTCGTTGGCTAGTTCAAGATGTTCATCACTCACTTTCAGGAGGCCAATGAAGACAGTCATGGCACTCTGCAGCAAGAGCAAACAAGAGACATAAGCACATTCGAGAAGAACAAGGAACCAAAAAAATGATCAGTCCGTTGACTTTCCAAAACGTAGTGAGGTTCGCCCATAGCTCATGAACAATGCCAGAGTTGATAGGTGGGGTGGTGTTAAACCATTACTCGTCTCAACGGGGCCCGAAACACAAACAGATCGACGCGCATTGGGCATGAGGCACAGCCCTGATTCGCGAGGGCTAGAGGTGCAATAAATCATCCAGTTTCCAGTTCAAGAAGTCCGAATTTCGTCGTGCAAGTCTGTGTTCTTGCTGAGTTTCTGTTGAGACCCCTGTTTTGGCTTGCCCATGTGCTGACAGCAAACATTTTCCTTCATAATTACCAGACATATGGGCATATACTAGTTTGCCAGGGGACTAACCTGTTCATCGCGGTACTCGTCTCGGTCTCGCAAATATTGGAACTTGAAAGAACAGGAAAGAGAATTTACACTGCATTCAGTCTCTAGCCTCGTAGGTCTGAGCTCTAGCTGGTTTTCTGCATAATGCAGCTCCTGTGATTACAGCACACCGCCTGTAGGACTAGGGTTTTCAGCAGTTGGCACGTCCACGACTTGAACCCAGGACAGGGTCTTCGCTGACCACTGCACATTTGCTGGAGCTTAGCCGTTTCAGCCAGTTTTTTGGGTCATTCCAGACTGGCAGGCCCTCTCGCACATACATGGGGTAGTCCCTTTCAGCTTTTGGCTAATTTTCGTTCCAAGTTTCTGGAGTCGAGAAGGTGGGGGAAGCGATTTTGCTCGTCATCTAGTAAAGGCAAGATGAGGGTGCAGCCATGGCTGCATAGTGCAACAAGTACTCTAAATAATCATTTTGCTTCCAATTGTTTTATATCACTCGGGGCCTTCTGGAGTCCGGGTATACATAATTTTTAACTCTTGTCATTTCTGGAGGTCCATACCAAAAAACGAGTTCTTTAGTTCCAACCAACTGTGGCATGAATAGGTGTTTGAAATGGTTAAGCTTCAAAAGTGAAGCTGTGCATGTTTTTTGCATGAAATTGATGAGATCCCACGTGATTCCAAATCGGAGTCAAATAGTTATTTCCGCTCGCCTGGGCTTTTCCTTTTTCTCTTTTGGGTTTCGGCTAGTTGTCTTGGCCGAATCCCTCACAACACACCAGCCTTCCACCTTTTTCTCAGCAAGTTCGGTAGGCCCTGATGTCCAGTAGGCCCAGAGCCTGAACACCATCACAGTACCGGGCACACTGGCTTAGATATGTTGGACGTACATCCAGTCCCATGATAGAGATTACAGTCTGCAGGAAGCTAGCAGGTCCTACGGAAGCCACTGTGGATGCTAGACAGTCTAGTACATCCAGTACCAGGATAGAGATTAGTACATCCAACTCCCGATGGACCACGTGTCAGATATCAAACTGGTCGGAACAGTGGCTTCTCGTGTTTCCTAGAGAGTCTAGTACATCCAACTCCCTATGTGCTGCCTCGCTGTTTGTTCCTCCTCTCGTCCCTCTTAAGTTCATGTGTCGTGTTGTGGTTTGTCATGCTATGGTGTTGGTTCCCTGCCCTTTGCCTTGCTGTCCTTTGCCTTCCCCCCTTCCCTCCGTTTGTTTGTGGGGTGTTATTGCGTGTGTTCTGGTCTGTTTGAAAAAGAGGAGGCGCCACCCACCCCCCTCATTTTGTCTTATTGCCTTCGCATATTTGGCTGCTTTCGACTTTACGGCCCTTTAAATAAGTACCCTCACCACAAATGGACACACGAGTAGTTTTACCCCGCCGCGTTGAAAGATCGCCTCCCGCGTCTTGCTTTTTTGCTCACAGTGTGCCGACGCTTTTGGTCGGAGTAGCACGAGTATGATGTGTCGTGCTCGTGCGAAACTCATGTGACACACACATGCTACACACACACACACACAGACAGCATCCTGATCAGTCCGTGAAAGTCACACACACACACACACACACAGAGACAACATCCTGATCAGTCCGTGAAAGTCACACACACACACACACACACACACACACACACACACACAACCTCCTGATCAGTCGGTGAAAGTCCAACGAAACAGTCTGCCACGTTTTTTTTGAGTGTATAGCGAATATGACGACAAAAAAAAAGTGACCGTATTTCTCCATGTTCTCTCGCTGATTCGACACGACATGCCCAAGCAGTGTGACAACAACAGCCCTGCCAAAGTCCAACAAAACACTCTGCCACATTCATGTTTTTTTTTTGAGTGTATAGTGAATATGACTACACACACCAAAAAAAACAAGCCCAAGCAGTGTGACAACAACAACCCCGCCCCCCTGTTTCGTCCCTCTCAATGGCTGCAGCGGGGCCACTTGTGATTTTAAATTGAAACATAAGAAGGGCTATTATAATTGAGTCGTTGATGCAATGTCTCCCACCCCAAATATATGACTTGCCCATGAGCTCGACCTCCAACAAAAACTGGAGGATTCGATAGAGCACACTGCCAAGGATCCGGACCACGGTCCAATTCTTGAGCAGCTCAAGGCTGACCCCAATAGTCAGCCTGATTATCATGAGTGTGAGGGTCTCTTGTTCCAACTGTATGGAAAGTTTGACAGGTTGTGTATTCCTAACCATGCGCCTCTCCGAACCCACTTCCTGATTTGCCACATGGCCAGAGTGGACACTTCGGCTTCCAAAAAACTAACGGAAGCCTACTGCAGCAGTTTGACCGGCCTGATTGACTTCACAGGCATGGTAAAGGTAAGCAAGAGAGGGAATTTGTAAATCATGGTGATTGTCGAATGCTTCACATTGTGTCGTTAATTCATATGAACGTCACATTGTTTCCGGACAGAAGACCTAGTTCACTGCAAAACTCACTGTGTATGAACACACAGCAGCACTCCTTACAGTCATTGCCTACGATGCATTTTGCAACCGAGTTACTCGCTCGAAGGTGCCTCACCCTTGAGAGGGGGCTGACATAATGACCTGCAAAATCCCAGACTGAGAGCTCTGCTGTTTTTTTTAGTTTGGTCGTTGGATTATGTGACTTATTAGAGTACTGGTCTCCGCTGAGATTTCGAAGTCTGTGTGTGCATGTTGCTGAGTTCCCTATGGTTGTGCCTTTGTATGTTGCAGCTAGGCTAGATCCGGTAGGATAGAAAACACTCAATCAGGTAGGCTAGTCCCGCGTAGAATGGAAAACACTTGAGTAGCGGGTACAAAACATTAGTACCGGCTGAAGGGATTTTAGAGTCCGGTAAGCTTAGGTCTAGGGGTACCTGTCCCATAGTCTGAGTCTAGAGCCTGTAGGGAATGATATCAGACCTGCAATGATATCAGACCTGCATGATGTTTCCCTCCGAAGGAGGCACGTACCGGTAGTTTGGGAGGCCGAGCGAACTGGAAAGTCACCGCCCAAGGAGGCAGCTGCTCGATATAGCTGCTCGATATATCTTTTGGAGGAGCGAAGTGCTCCTCATTTTGGGGTGATGACGGATGGAGGATTAAACGAGCATTGCGCAGTTCAAGTTGGCAGTCCCTCATTGCTACTTGTAGGACAGCGATGGTAAAGCCTCTTTCGCTAGTATAATAACAATTCTCTGGCTGTAGGCGGGGAAGACCAGCATCAAGTTGAAGGGTAATTGCCAGGACGTCTGACGGTGTATACGGGTGGTGGAGAATGTCAAGACAGATATTAGTTGCAGTCAGACCACAGAGATTGGTGTGGATATCAGGCTGGTGTGTCAGATGCTGGCCAACAATTTGCTGATCACCCAGTTGCTGGCCAGTCATTTGCAGATCACCCATGTGGTCTGCGCGTGGCGGGGCACAATTTTGTTTCATCCAAATGATGTCAGTCAGCCATTTGCCGATCCCCCTTGTGTTCTACACTTTGCGGGGTTAACTGCAATCCAGGCAAATCATGTTCCAATCCCTCGACATTCAGGGCTGCATCCTGAGCAGGGACTGTCTCCAGAATTGGGAGTGTCCCCTGCGCGGGGACCACACCCTGTTGTAAAGGTGCCCCGTGGATATCTATGGCTGAAGCACACATGAAATACGGTCTCGTGGCTGCCTGTAGGCAGCCGGACTGTCTACAGGAGCCATAGGAGGAGATATTGCCATTTGGAACAAAGGAACTGGAATAACCCGTAGAGCAGGTACAGAGAGAATCGGGGCAGACAAAGAAACAAATTGCTGATCCCCAAACAAGCGACAACACGGCATGCCCTCCACAATACACAATATTAGTAGTGGTGTTCCAGACTGAAGATCAACATGTCTCTGGCAACGAATATGGAAAAATGGGAACAATGGTAACCAGAGACTCTGTTCACAAGCTAGACCGTGGAGGAAATGGAGATGGTGAGGAGGAACGCAGTCGTCTGCAGCCAAGCACAGAAAGAGATGGAGGGGAGTGGATTGGGCAAGATTTCGAAATAAAGGACGTGAGTGCCGGAGAGACTCTGATGCTCTTTGCACTGGAGCTGCGGAAGACGAAGCTGTAGCACTAAAAACTACAGCAGGGGGAATTCCAGCTACATAAATATATATCATCAAACAGAACTGCCCGGTGACCCGTCGGCAGAGAGGGAGAAGAGGACAACAAACAGGGGGCTGTCACAAATTGTTTCGTCAGAGTTTCACTGACTCGTCAGGAGGCTGAACCCTCAGTCTGCAGAATCCCCTAACTGATTACGCTGTGAGTGATAATCCACCTTAACCCCGGTTGTGGTTAGGCATCGACTGGCCGACAACTGATACCCTGAGGTGGGCGCCAACCACTGCCCTCAAGGTACCTGTGATGATTCTGATGAGCACCAAAGCAGACTATCACTCACCCACACCAGATGGAAAACCCTACAGCCTCCCAGTTCACACCCAATCAATACATAATCCCTAAAAGGATGGAGAGCAAAAGGCAATATACTTAACAAACGACAATTACACAGAACATGCAAAATTAATTGCACACAACCCAAAAGGCTCCACTAACAAGAAAGCACTGAACACACCCGCAATTGGTTTGAGGAAAAACTTAGGGAGCCCTCTGAGTCGGCCCTCAAAGCCACCATAAATCAAACACAAACACCACAGAACCTATGTGCGCAACCACCGCTACATGTGTGGAGTATGCCTAGTGATCTTAAATGAAAATTTTAAAATGCTCAGAATGCCAGGTCTTCTCGGTTTGTGGGTCGTGCGAACCATTTGAGATTCGAGGCGAAGCAGGCCAGTTTGCAATTCAAGGCGGAACAGGCCAGTTTACGATTCAATGCACCAGCCACAGAGCCAAATTTGTGACTCAGGGCACAGCAGTCTAGGCTAGACTTGCCTGCGTGCCAGGCAGAACAAAATTTTATCAATGCAGAAGGATCCCAAATGCACGCACCAGCGAAAACAAAACAGGACAGACGCAAAACGCATCCCACCTGCATACACAGACCGAAACATAATACAACAAAATGGCCGAAAGGAAATAAATGAAAAGACAAATGCAGCCACCAATACATCCGACAAATGAACTGCAATCCACGAAAAAGAAGAGCTCACTTTCAACGCCTGACCACAGCCGCCAAAGTCAAAGATGGCAGGGCCACAGTAGAAGGACAACCCAAATTCAGTGCATAGCGAGGCACTCGCAGTCTAGGATCTTTGGCGTATTGGCTGGATTAAGATGCTGGATGAGATGGCGAGAGAGAGATGATTGTGGTGAGATAGCATCTTTTGTTTTTCTACGTCTTCTCCGCCATTCCTCCATTCTTCTTCTTCCCTGGTCTCATTCTCCTTCTATCTGAGTTATGATGAATGCAATTGTCTTATCTTCGAGTTTGCATTATGAAATGGGCAGGATCATAGCACCTATCTCTACTGCAAGTGCTGATAGCATAGAGGGTGCAATGTAATGCCACCTTGTACACAGCCTGACTCACCTGCTCAATGGATGCACCTGTCGATTCTGTTCTAAATGTCTTGGAGCTAAGCTTGTGGCTGCCAAACCAGGACAAGGGGCTGAACGATCTGATCCTCGAAAATGGAGAAGGAGGTGATCCAGCTGTTGTCCCTTGCACTCTAGGACTTCGCGGAGAGCTCTTTCTGCTTTCCTTGAACTCTTGAAGCGCATACTTCCGTCTGGGCAATCAAAGCATACAAAAGACAAGCCACTAAGGAACAGTCTAACGGCTCTACCCTTCACTGATCCAAACAAGACCGGTACCCCAAAAATGACCACAACAAAGAAGTCTCTCAAAATAGTACCACAAATGCTAGCCAAACACCATACATCTGGTTTGCCCCCCCCTGCCTTAGGGGAGGGAGGCAGTGCCCTACAGATTTGTTTTGCCTGGAGAAAATATTGCCCTACAGATTTGTTTTGTTTTGTTCTTTTTAATAATATATTTGCAGAAACATCAGCAATAAGGCTGAATAAGCCTATGTCCCAGGCTTTTTTCAGATTTTTTCAACAAAAATTCTGAGCAAAAGAAAAACCAAAGTTGGTGCACTTCACATTTTACGACAAGCTGCTGACCGCTGACGTCGTACCCTGCCCACTCACCCCGCTGCAGCCATCAGATTGCGCAAAGTTGCAACCTCTTGAGAGATCGAGGACACACGGGTGATTAATGAACCCAGAAATAAGCCATGGAGAGTAATAAACGAACCTCCGCGTATAGTCGATAGACCACAGATATGAAACCAAACAAAAGCCATTTTTTTTCTGAACTGCGATGTCAAAACCTCATGCAAGCACACATTGTCTGGTGTGAATCGTCATGCAGCTTATCAGCCTACATCCCTGATGAAGTCTCCGCGCTTATCAGATGGGGTCCAAGATGTGGGCTTCTCCGCGTATAGTCAATACACCACAGATATTCATGCAGCTTATCAGCCTACATACCTGATGAAGTCTCTGCGCTTGTCAGATGGGGTGTCAGATGTGGGCTTCTCCACACCTGGAGACATATTCGCTTCCCAGAGACTGTTCAAATGTTCATTGCCACCAAGTGACTCCAGTGTATCAACTTGCTCCTCCGTCCAGTCATCTAATGTAACTGACAGCACCTTCTCAACATCACAACCAGAAGAAACCAAGCCACAGATCATAACCATCAGGAAACTTCCAGGCAGACCTAAGAAATTTTCTCCCTCCACTACATGTGCGTGGATGCACACAACCATGTGCATGCACACATGCACACACCCAAACGCAGAAAGAGGAATAAGAACAAGAAAACAGACCGCACGTGTGCTCAGTTTTTATGTGCAAAAATGTGGGTGCCATAACAGAATATCTCGTCACACTCTCACATACATATCGGGAGGCTGACCCCTGCAGAGACCTCGAGCAATGCTTTCATCCCTGATTCGCATGAGCCACAATTTCATCAACCTATCACCTACCCATACCAGATGCAGAGCTGAACAGACCGCTGGTTCACACTACCCTTAGCAGCCACGCAAGCCTCCAACACAACACAAAGCCTGTAACACCAAGGACATAAAGCTCCAGACACACAGCTGCTACAGACATGGCGTATATTGTCACGTACAGTGTAACCCACGTTCCGATCCGGCCAAACGGTTCGGGCCACCCGAAGCATGCATTCGGCTGAACGCAAATCGTTTGTCCTTTTCTTTTTTTTGAAGTTTTTTCCCAGTTGCGAGGCACAAGGCCTCGATATGCCCCACTGGACCCAATTTGCAACAGCGTCGGCCGCCCTAAGTGAAGGCAGGCCCGACAGACCCTCAGAGGCCTATTTTGGACTACTTCGCAACTGGGGAAAATTCAGGCAGTTGCGCTGCGCCAGTTGGTTGGAAGCGCCCAGGCCCTGGCTTCTTTTATCAAATGCATCTGAGTCAGGCCCTAGGCGAGATTCGCAGCATAGGCCCAACTCAGGTTGCAGGCAGTTGGGCACAGGTAACCGTCAGCAGCCCTGGGCCAATTCGTTTGGTCTGGGCCTCAGTCTACCGGGGCCTACCGGAAGCTTCTTGGGAAAGGCACAGCGCCACCTGGGACAGAACGCAGGCAGGCCACTTCCATATAGCAAAGGGCCTGCCTCCGCATTGGACATTCGGGTGCTGGCTGCATGCTGCGCAAGCGCTGCTGCGCTGAAGCTGGCTGGCACTCACGCGCTCACGGGCGAGCTGGAAGGAGCAGGCAGTCATAGCCAAGCTGCGCTGCTGTAGGCTGGGTGTGGTGCATGGTGGTCCTTGGGTGCAAGTGGCATCTGTGTGTTGGGGAACGAGGTTGTGAGCGATATGAGAGACATACCTGGTGCTAGAAGCGACGGCATTGTCCGAGATCTGCTCGTACTTCGGTGAAGCTGTTGACATCATCCCGCGGCATTATAGAGTAGGCTAGATAGGATCTGCCATCTGTAGTCTGGGCGCCGAGCACCAGATAGGATATCAATATTGGTTCTTCATTGATGATGATGATGAGACCATACCAGCATTGTCAATTATGAGCTCTTGGTGTGTTCTTATTTGGTGAAACTCGTGATGCAATTCTGCTGTTGGTTCGAGGTCACAACTATCTGGTCTTGTGTGTATGATGCTGTTCGATTTCTGAAGTTGAAGTTCGCTATCGCTCATCTTCCTTGCAATTTGGTATCAGAGCAGTGGTACGGTGCGCTAATCTGGCGCTTGTTTTCTGCCTAATGTGGTACATGCATGCGGTGTGTGCGGTAAGCGGCCGTGCCGTGGGACGTGTGTAGTGAGGAGGGCGAAGGCAAGAACAGTCGACCCAGGTGGAGAGGGGTTCGCCAGGAAGGCTATGCGGTGTAATGTGGGTTCTGGACAGTGTGATGAGAACTATCCGATGTGCGATTGGTGCTGAGGTGGAACAGCCTGTAACGCTGGTTGTGCCGAAGCAATGACTGGTCATCACAATCGGCGTCAGGTCATCTGGTGAGATTATCTCTGTGGTTGGGGGCAGCTATTTGAGGTACGTTGCTCTTAACCTTATCTACTCTCTTCGACACTTCTTACCGTGAGGTAGTGTGTTCCATCTTGAGAGTCCTCTCATTGTGAGGAGTCAAGTCAGCCTTGAGAGTCGGCAATGTTCACATGGAGCATCTGGGGGAAGATGGGCGGAGCTTTCTGAAGGGCCCTGGACGAAGCACTGGGTCACGGTCACAATGCCAACCCACCGGGAGTAGAGCACGCATGCTTTGCAGCTTGTCCTTTGTTCGGCTCGCTGCGCTGTTAGATGGGTTCTGAGGGGCAGGCCAGCCCAATGTGGGAGACGAGAACCGGGCGTCTATAAATAAACACCGGCAGGGGAAACCATTGGCTGTGATCGACGTCCTGTTTGCGACGTTAAGTAATTCCTGAGGACACTTGGGGGCTGTCCTAAAATAGCCTCTTGATCAGATAATCGGTGCAAGGCTCGCTGCACGCGAGGATAAACAATGTGCTAGAGCTGGCCAGCTCAGCAGGACTCGGGGCACAGGGGTGGGCCGATTTGCACACCTTTAGACACGCACTGCTCTCTGGATGGCTCAGGGACGCTGACGTCAAGCGACATTCAAGAGGAACTAGATTTCAGGTGATAAGTTCGGGAAAATTTCCATGCTGTCCCAATCCACACAAATGATTCTATTTTTATGTTTTGATTAGTTAGATGTACAGTCATTAACATCTGACAGACAGCATATGTGAGGATTGAGCCCTCAAGTAGGGGCCTTGCCATGATGTACATGTTCTGGGGTAAGGCCCCAGCAAGCCTAGTGCCCGCCCTAAGTGAAGGCGGGCCAGCAAATCSACAAGAGCCCTCTGTGCAACATTTCACGAAGTGGGGTTCATACAGTTGCAGCACGCCAGWTGGTTRSAGTGCACCGAGTCTCGGATTTCAGCAAATGCTGAAAGCCCAGGGCCTCTGAGTTGGTTAGGCCCTGGGCATCTGAACGTGAGGCCGACAATGCATGCTGGGAAGAGAGGCCGACAATGCATGCTGGGAAGAGAGGCCGAAAATGCCAAAGGGAAATCGGCCCACTGTCTGAATCTGGCCGCAGGCCCTGATGGAGGCGCAACTGCCTTACCCCGGGGCCCAACTGTATCGAGTTGGCTTCAGCCTCTGGGCCCCGGTCACAGGCTGAAGGGAGGCCGCCCACACACTGCACTGGCATATAGGCAAGCAGGGCRAGGCAGCGGGGATCTTGGCCAATGCTGGCATATGCAGGCACGCTGCGCAGATGCAAGTGTGCTGCGCTAATGCAGAGCAGCGCTGCGCTAAGAAGAAGCAGGGCAGCGCTAGGCGGTAGGGCGCTGCCTGCTTGCAGGGCACTGGCGGCCATAGCCAGGCCGCAAGAGGGTGCAGGGGAGGTGAGGGCGAAGGTGGTACTTCGGAGGTGAAGGGCGCTGTGTGGGTAACAAGGGAGAGTGTGGGGAAGATGACACGTACCTGGTGATGGTGGAGGTCTGCATTGGTGTTGACATCATCACTCGCTGGTAGYCAAGTTGTCTGGTTGYTGTTCATTTYTGTAGTTGTAGGATAGGCGGTAGAGTAGATAGGGCGCCTGGCGCCATTCACAAGAGAGAGCTACATTTGAGTTATGCTGTTGGTGTTGCCCTGGTGGGCATGGACATTGACTMRCAATKCTTYTGTATCATTCTCAATGAGATGGTTACTCGGTTCCATGTGCTATCTGCTTTGGCTTTGAATACTTGGACTTCAGTGTGATTTTGCATTCCRGATTTCTGTYCTTCGTCCATACTCATGTTCCTTGCAMWT